TTCTGTGACCCTAGTTGTCAATTTATGACGTTCTAAAGATATTGCACGATTCATCAGTTTCCTTGCAATAGCATTTAACACCAAAGATAAAGAATAATCTAGTCTCTTTATCACCTTTGCGTTACCATGTTCATACTTAAGCTGCTTGTGCCACCTTTCAACTTTCATATTTGTATTAACCCCTAATCCAATTCGATAGCAATAGGCCAATTTCTCAGGCTGAGACATATAATTTTTGTAGAAATATTCTCCAAAAGCTTTTGTTTCTTCATTAGACAAACAGCTGGTGACAAAGATATCCGAAATTCTTTTGAAAGACACTATGTCAATTTCGTGCATTATTTGCACTAACTCATTTGCAATTTTTAACCTTAAGTCACTGTTTTTTTATTTTAGATAAGTTTTTATTCCATGCTCTGCGAACATGCCAGCTACACAAAAGACACTTATCAACTTCACCAAAAACCTGACACCATGCATTATAAAATGCCGGAGCATCGTCTGACATGAAAACCTTAGGTTTAAGATTAGGAACTCTATCTTTAATAGCTGAAAAAAATGGTATAAAAGTTTGTGCTGTTATTTTTGATGAATACAAAATAGCAACAGGAAAACCTTCATGATTATCATCATTGACAAGTACAGAAGTTAATTGAAATCCATACTGATTCATACCATGAGTAGAGTCTATCATAATACAGCTGCTGTTTAATTCCAGCAACCTAAGTTGGGCACCATTCATAACCCCTAAAAGGAAATCATCCCTTGATACACCTTGAAAACCTGGCAGTTCGTCACCAACTTTCTTGTACAACAAAATTGGACAACCAGATTCAGCTTTCATTTTCTGGACTTTTAAGTCCACCGATACTGCATCATTAGTGTCAAAAACAATTTCATTATTTACCTGAATACCTCTAGAAATATTTTGTAAATCTTTTAAGTGAGTAACACCAATTCTTTTTGTTGGTGAATAACTACTTTGAATGGACATTAAAATCTTTTCTTTTGGAATACCTTGCTGCATCATACCTGCTAATTTAGATTTTTCAGTTTTTGAGAGCGGCAATTTCCCAACTTCATGCCTATGACCAACATGCACTGATTGGTAACTAACTTTAATTTCAAAAATATCCCCGATCTCTTTCTCTGACACTTTTATTTCAGCAGGACATGTTTTCCCTATTTTAATTGAACCTCCACATTTCATGTGACGTATTCTGTCAGTTTTTATTTTACATGAACCACTTCTATTACATAAGAAATAACTACGAATTGTCCCATCTGCCAAACGTTTAGTCGTTCGTTTGGCAAAAAAGGACTGACTACTTTTTTCAACATCTTCTTTCCAATTTTCGAATTCAGATTTAGAATGAAAAATAAGTTCCTGAAAATTTAACCTTATATCTGTATGGACAGAATCTATGTGGTCATGCAACTCTTTCATAGAAGTAAACCTTTCATTACACAGAGTACAATCTCTTTCATTATAAGTTTCCAACTTATGTTCAGAATGAAAATTTCTTATGTGTCTATATAAATTACTTTTAACAGAAAATGAGCAGTCACAAGAAGCACAACAAAACCTAGAACTTATCGATGACATATTAGTATATAAAATATTCTTAGTGTTATTAGTTTAACAACATAAGAACTCTGTAGTTATCAGAAAAATACAAATGGCAATCTAAATAGGAACACTTGAAAAAACAGTAATATTTAGATGATTTTTAAATTGCATCAATACACAGAGTCATTATCATGGTGTGTATATATAAATATGCTGTAAATAGCAGCTGTATAACTTAGCGCATAATATTCATAACAAAAAACCAAAATTATTGTACGGAAATATATATCAATAATGCTGTATTTAAAATCAACCAAGCATAAGAAACAGTTTTGCAAAAAAAAAAAAAAAAAAAAAATACTTTTCAGTTTCTTCTGTACCTATGAAAAATAAAAATTGGTACTCGAAGTAAGTATTCCCAAACCAGAGTTTTTACATAGAAAAAAAGGTAATTAATGGAAATGTTTGTTACCCAAAAAGTAAAAAAAATCAAACTTTAATAACGCCCAGTAATTAATTAAGGATAAAAACAGTGCTGAATATATATGCCTTATTACTTCTGAAATAATAATCAAGTTAAGCACGTTAATAAACAGAAAATTAACTTGCAAAATCTGAAAGGAAAACCTGAAAAAATTTATTCGTAAAACCTAAAAAGAATATTGTAAAATCTTAAATTAGCTCACAGATAAGCAAAATATATTGTAAATAACTTGTAAAATCTGAAAGGAAAACCTGAAAAAAAAATTAACTTGTCAAACCTGAAAAAAATAACTCGTAAATTCTGAAAAGAATATTGTAAAATTTTAAATAACAGCTAAAAGAATATTGTAAAATATTAAATAAGAGCTACAAAAATAAGCAGAGAAAAAATGCTTTACTTGAAGCGCACACCGCAAAATCTGAAAGGAAAACCTGAAAAAAAAAATTAACTTGTCAAACCTGAAAAAAATAACTCGTAAATTCTGAAAAGAATATTGTAAAATTTTAAATAACAGCTAAAAGAATATTAAAAATATTAAAAGAGCTTCAAAACGAGACGCAAAACAGTCAACGCAGCAAAATCTGAAAGGGAAAAATTTCAAAAAAAAAAGAGCTTAATTTTATTTGTTTTTTATTTTTCTTTCAATTAAGTAAGTTTAAGTTGCTTCGTTTTTTGAAAACTATTGTAACTTTTTACATGACTACATTTTTATTTCTTGAGTTCAGTACAAAGTTCCGCTGTTCAATTCCGTAATTGCTGTGCCGAGAAATACCGACTAACTTGTCAATCGAAATTTTTTCGTTTTCACTAACCTCTCTGTCACATTCTTCATGTCTTTATCCATTTTTGCAGCAATTCCACTTTTTGTTTGATGGACATCGAAACATACTTTCGTTTTGTATATCCTTTGGGAGCTTCAGCATCGGAAATTCTATTTGACATAATCGAAAGTTCAAGTTTACTTTTATAAAATTGCTCTTACAGTCTGCAAAAAATAATAAGCCGGATCCAATTCGAAGATTAAGGAACAACGCAATCATCAACATTAACTGAAATAGATAATTAGATAATTTTAGCTTATACCGTCCGTTATACATAAAACGCGCACGCGAAAACGTATTCTGAGCTTGCGCACACGCTTAAGCGCAGTCGTAAAGGTCTTACGCGCACGCGTAAACGCCTATGCGCATGTGTCAACGCGGCGCATGCGCAGAACGTTTTTAGCTTTGAATTACGGATTATAGATCATTCCGGATTATGGGTGTCCGAATTAACGACTTTTGAATGTACCACACTTTCTGGCGGTTTCCCCTCGCCACGATCAATCTTCCACACCCGCTGTTTCAAGTGGACTTTACCAGGCGGCAGAGATCAAAAGGATCTGGTTGGAATTTGAGATTGTAGTGCTAACTTCCATAAACTCTCAGCGTTTGTCGTCGCATATATCTGCAAACCTCCATCTATCACAGTGATTATTAACTTAACGTTAGTAAAGTTTTTTTTAAAAAAAGGTTAAATAATGAAGATACATCTCTTACTTATAATTAGTCATACTTTTACTTAGGATAGGGCATGACGGAAAAAATTTAACTGAAAAAATGGCACAGAGACTCAGAAAAATTTAGGTATTACTAGTATAAAGAACAGGATATGACTAAAATTCCAGAAAGTATATCAGCAACAGGGATTCAGAGAGTTTTCTACATTTGGAAGTGTACATAACAAATTAAGAAATCAGTAGTTGAAAAGGCACCAAAACTTTTTTGTTAAGTATTAAATGCAAATTTCAGTAATGCAGATATACTGGGGATATTTTGCAAAAGTTATATAGATTGCACATATAAGTGCTATTCTCATGGTTGTACAGTAATACCTTTACTTGTGTAAACTTCCTTTTTATTTTACACATAATTTAATTTGTAACTGTTTTTTAATTAATTTGCACTGGAATTTGTGAATAATTCAAAAACTGGTAATAAACAAAACATTATTCAACCTATATATTAGAAGCATTAATAATTTATGCTAAATGCTTCACAACCCCGAAAATTGCATAGTGCATAATAACTGTTGACAGACAATGCACTTGTTCTCTGTTTATATATATAGTGCAGTTATTGTTTTATTCTGTGGAACATAAAAAGCGAAGAACATAGCCTAATTCTTTATTTCATATTTTATAAGTATGAAATGAACCATGAGTTTGCTGTATTTTACATAACTCTGTTTCAGATGGCGCATTTGCTTTAATACTATTACATATCAAAAGGTGTAAAGATAGCCAAACAAATGCTTTCGATAATTAACAAAATAACCTTTAACTTTATGATTTGTCGTTGGATGCAGATAATCAGAAAGCACTCAGTGTTCTTTCTTAGATGTTTTTCTGCTAAAGAAATTGGTAATTGTTTATTACCAAAGTAATATGCGGGCTTATGTGCTTTTCATCAGTCCCAAATATGATATAACTTTCAGCTACTACAGTATATGCTCTGACTGTTTCTTTATTTATGTACTATAATACAGAGCAACAAGAGTGATTTGTTAGCATTTATACGGTATATAAATTTTATATTCAAGTGATTGAATTCTAGTCATTAATGCCAAAAGGCTACCAAGATATTTTATTGTTTTTATGTTACTAACGAATAAAATCATATATGATTTATATTATCTATAATTATTATTTTTTATGTTAGTTTACACATAAAAATATATGTTAGGCTTCTTAATAACATCTAATTAGAGATTTACTTCCTTGAAAATCTTCAATGCAAGGTTTTTTAACGTTTTTCTGTGTTACCTTTATTTATTAAATATCATGTTCTTCGCACTTAAACCGTAAAATTCAATTCAACAGCAATATCGCAAATAATTTAAAAATGAGCATATATTTAGAATTTCTGATACACAGTCTCGCATGCTGGAGCTAAATATATATATATATATTTTTTTTCCTCCACGTACAGTATTGCCATTGCTTTGAAATTGTTGAGTTTTTTAATCAAAAACTCATAAATGCTTTACAAAACATGAAATAGATAATAAAACAAATTTCAAATTTTGGCTTCCAGATGCCCATATTCAGAGGAGGATTAAATTACAGTCAAAAGTCGTTAATCCGGACCACAAAGCTACAAACTTTCTACGCATGCATCAACGCATAATGCTTTGACGTATGCGCGTAATACCTTTATGCATGCGCATATGCATGTACGCATGTGCATAATACGTTTACACATGCACGTTTAATGTATAACGGATGGTATAAGCTAAGCTAAAATTATCTATTTCAGTTAATGTTGCAGATTGCCTTGTTCCTTAATCTTCGAACTGGATCCGGCTTATTATTTTTTGCAGACTGTTAGAGCAATTTTATGAAAGTAAGTAGGAACTTTCGATTATGTCAAATAGAATTTTCGATGCTGGAGCTGCCAAAGGATCTACAAAGGGAAAGCATGTTTCGATGTCCATCAAACAAAAAGTAAAATTGCTGCAAAAAATGGATAAAGGCATATCTTTTGTTTCTCTAACCATTCCGAAATCTGTTTATCAATTTCACGCTGCTCTGCCGGGGGGGGGACGTCACGGTGCGCAATGAACGGGAAGTTGATCTGTCAGCTCTATCCTTATCTTCAGGGCAGCTGTTTTTATTTTATTTGGCTTATAATTCCTTACTAAATACAGTAAGACCCCGCTTAACGCTGTTTCGGTTTAGCGCTCTTTTATTATTTCAACCCGGGGATTCTCCGAAATTGTGCGCAGCGCTAGGTTTCCAAATAACATATCCGAAACAGTGTAGTTGTGTTTCTTGCTTTGTGGACGCATTTTTATCATTTGAAAACATTTGGTTGACATTATTGTAAGTTTAAATTTGTATAATACTATACCGATTAATACAGTGACAAATATTATGATCTTTAGTTTTTATCATGGGTGATAATAAAAAACAAGAAAAGAAAGCAACCAGAAAAAAGCATTTCACTGGAAAATCAAATGCAAGTGATTAGAAGATTAGATTCTGGTGAACGTCAATCTCAAATTAGTGCGCATTGATTTTGGCAACTTCAACAATAAGGACAATTCTTAAGAATAAAGAAAAAATATTGTCATCGGCAACTGCAACTAGAATTACCCGTTCTAGAAATAACATTATAGAGGAAATGGAAAAAAAAAAAAACGACTGTCTATATGGATTGATGACGAAATTGAACGCAATATGCCATTAAGCCAATTATCATAATGCCTTCTTGACAAAAAGGCAGAAAATTGGAAACCCAGAATAGACTGAATGATCTGACTGAGAATTTTATTTGTTTTTAAAAGTATATGTGTTTATATTGTTTTTATTTTGTAAGAAATAAATGTTGATTTTATTTTTATTAAAAAAAACATTATTAAATTTAATGCCTAACCATTTTTTATCCGTCTTCCCCTAACCCCATTATTTACATGTTAAGATAGCCTCGCTTAGCGCTGTTTCGCATTACGCTCTATTTCGATGGAACGTATCCCCCGCGTTAAGCGGGGTATTACTGTATAGTATTTCATC